TAAGAGTTCATGAAAACAGTCTCTATGTTTTTCCATCACTCACTTTTTTTCTTCATTGCAGAGCAAATATTCTTTGTATATCCAATGTCATTAGGTCCTTATTAGCACTGCTGTGGTCAGCAGTTTGTGAAAATTGGATATGGCTTGTCTACTTTTAATGCCTTGCAAGCAACTGGAATGCAACAACACAAACTTGAGGGCTGAATGGCCAATCAGTATCTGTGATTTGTGGAGAATCCTCATGAAAATATTAAATTTAGTGGAGGAAATGATAGGCAATTTTAAAGTGAATTTGTGTTCTTAAAGAGAGGTGGTAATAACTGGAAGGGAGATGGGCAGGACTGAAGAGGTGTGTAGCCTGCTTATAAATCAAGGGTTGGGCTCAGGACTTTAGGCAACCCCACTCTTATGTTACTGTGCTCTGTTCTCTTATGTTAAAATAACATAAAATCCTTCTGATTTAGGAAGAAGGCAATCAGTGCCTTTGTCATTACTTCAAAAAGCTCCTTCAGTTTAATGTCAGCATTGTCAATTTTCAATAAAGCACAGCTGCAGCTTATGGCTGTCAAGCATGCTGAAAAGCAACCGATATTTTGGAGATCTTCATGTGAATAAGAGAGAAAACCACATATGTGAATGCTACCATGTAGCACTGCTGTGTTATTGTGATACTGGGTCAATTGCTTCTTGTATTATGAATTCAGTATTTCTGCACGCTGATCATGTGAAAAGGGAGTGTTTGGTTTCAACCAAGAAGCTGTATGTTTGATATCGGAGTACACTGTTAAATTAGAAGGTATGTAACTGTCTTGTAAAGTACTGCTCTTTATTCTTCTGTAGAATTGGTGTCTGGATCATTAAAAAAAAAATCTTGAATTCATTTATGTAAACATGGCAAAACCAGTAAGGGGATTCTTTGCCCTTGCCAGAAAACCAGATGTACTGGAGGAACCCACAAAAATCTTGCTTGCTTTACTCCAGCTGATTGCATGGGAAAGACAGTGTGAGCTGCTCTGTGCTGCTTTGCAAATGTGTGATTTGGAAGAAGGAAAGTGGTGGCACTTGTAGACTTTGAGGACTTCTACCTTCCTGAATAACAAAAATTATATTGCCAGAAACTACTTCTGATGGTTGAATCTCAATTTCTAGAATGACTAAACTTGCTATAAAACTTAAAACATCAAACATTTTGTATTCAAGTTGTCTGTGTATTTTTAATAAACACAATGGCATTGAAAGAACCAATGTGCCATGATGTAATAAACATAGGATTATTTGGTGTGGGATTATGAAGTCACCTGGCATTTACTTGTTAGAACGTGCCTAGAGTTATCATGATTGTAAAAGCTCTACTTAATAACTTAGAAAACAAAGATTAAGTTACAGGTAGAGGTTGTGTGAAACTCCATTTGTGGACAGTTGGAGTGTCAGGTGACAATGAGCATGACTGCTTTTTCTCAGGTTTCACACAATGTTAGCGCAGCCGTTCAGCGGTGAAGTGAATGTGTTGGAGAACTCGTTACGTGTGTCCTAGCAGTCAGGAGGATTTCAAAAATGTTCACTGTTCGCTGAACGCTTGCGAAAAACTTCCTTCAAACTTCCTTCATTTCTGTTGGCTTCTCAGTACGTTGATTTCAGAAGCTGAAATCTACAGCTTTTCATCCTCCTCAGTATCTCCTGTTCCTTCATAATGAAGAGGGGAAAAGGAGAATTACAAGGATTTCTTGAGCAGAGCAACTCCCAGTAACAATTTTCCAATGTACATTGGTTTCAATAATCAACATGGACTAAAACCCATTTGATTGCAAATACAGAGGTGACCCTGCATGATCCTTGTTACTAATTACTAAAATATCTGACTGCAGTGTGCATATTAGGGGTACCAAAATGGTGGTGCCTCACCTACAGCTCACATTACATATTTAACAACTTGCATTTGCATATTTTTAATCAAATATAAATGTACTCAGAACATTTGCTTGTACTTGTATTTGTCCTGACAGATGGTTAGGAATTGCTCACTGCCTGAGTACAGCAGCAAGCAGAACCTTTGATCAGGAGGTGATCAGTGCTGCTTGCAATCAGCATTTCCTGAGCAGGGTGGCAAACCAATGATGCATGTGACTTGATAGGCCACATGTTTTGGTTGTATTGCATTGCAGTTAGAAAGCAAACTTACTGGGCTGAGTGGCACTCTGAAGTGGCACTGCTACCAGTAAAAAAATAAATAAATAAATTGATCTGGGTGTGTTATGCAAGGAATACTATACTTTAAAAACGTTTACAGTGATTAGTCAAGCTTTTTGTCCCAGCTGTTTGTAATTTTATTCCCTGTTTAAGCATCACATACACAACCTTCAGATAGTAAATGCAATGAGGCTGTAAAATATGCAGTTCTTAGTTCAGAAAATGCTTGCATGCTAGCTGTTGGTATAGATGCTTTTCAACGTTGAGCTGTAGGAGCTGATTCAAGTGTTTTGAAGCCTCTTGGCATCCCAAGACAGGTCCTTAAGGAGTGCCTTGAGCTGAATTTGGTGTCATGAGTGTGTGGGCACTGCCTGTTGCAAGAGCAGTTCAATAGCTACAGTACATTAGTACAATACTGTACAATAGCTACTGCTCAGCAGTGTTGCAGGATTGGACTCCCTGTTCACCCCCATGGGGCAAAGAATACATCATAATCTATTTATTAAATGCCATGCAGATTTTTTTGCATTCTGCATGAATTTTGTAATAGTGATTACACAACTGAACAAATATTTTATATACTGTATTCACTGACCAGGCACTTGATTCTTTTTCCAACAATTTCAAATTAGAAAAATTAGAATGGCCTTGGCATTAATGCTCTCTTATACAAGTAAACTTAAAAGGAGATTCAGTATATTGTTAAGTATCATTAATTCTAGACTTCTTCATTGTTTTTAATCAGGCAGGCCTCATTGCCTAGGTAGCAACTCTCATGCCTGGACTTATTTTCAAAATCAGAAAGTTTAAGAATTGGTCTGAAATGTCTACTGAACCATGACTAGCATTCATAGAATCTGTTTAGCTTATTGTAATGTCAGCTTCCCAGTTCACTAGATACTGGGCAAAATACAGCGAACGTATACGATGGCTTGATGTGTGTTTCTACCCAGAAGAGTTCTAGCCAACTCCAGTGTGAAAGATGTGTTAAATTGCATACGGTCACATTTGGATTGTGCTAAGATACCTTCCCTGATTGTACCCTGCAGGGATTACTTGAAGATACCTATTGCCTGGAAAGAAATTAAGTTCAATCTGGTGACCCTGATCATCAGTCCTGTGCTTGTGTTAAGGCCCAGATGATAGGAGAGGCTGTTTTGGGAGGCAGAGGAGATGATAGGAGCAGACCCTTCTCATCCTGTGAATCTTCATGGTTTTAACACTCAGCTTAGCATTGAACAGAAACAATTTGGATATAGAAAAGTGGAAAACAAGAGAAGTAATTTGCTTGCATTCACATTAATCACTAACTGTCTAAAATTATCTTGTTGCCATTGCCACTTCAAATAATTAAAAACGAGGAGCAAAGAGTGGAAATATTTCCCTACCATTCATATGCCCTGCAGATTGTTTACATTGTGGATCTAAGATCATTTTGTTCTCATGTTCAGGGCTGTTCCTGAAGGCCTGCAGTGATTGTTGCTAGAATCTATCAGTTTATTTTCAAATTAGGGCCCATCCTGATCAGAATTTTGTCTAACCATCAATACAATAAATGTTGCAAATATGGTAGTATTCTAAGAAATGAAGAAAAAAAACTGATGCTCGTTATGCAGGGGCTCTGCCCCCAGAAGCAGTGTGCAGGCAGGTTGCTCATTGCCTACTGAATAAGATTACTTAGAGTTGCAGTGCTGGCATCATTCTCAGGCACATTCCGAGAAGTCACACCATCCTTTTCGCAGAAGGGAGTGATGCAAAGAGCAGGCGTGCCTTGGAGAGCTGCATTCAGCCACCCAGCCTGCCGTCATGTCACTCAGACACCGAATCAAACCTGCTTCTGTAAAGCGATGCCCTCCTTCCCCTCGGCGTGCAGGGACGGTGCCATTCAAGATCCAAATATCTCAGTGCTTTAAAGCAGGAAAGCACAACAAGATGGTACATTCCTGCTTTTTAACATTCTGCTTTACTGACATAACAAATCTTTCATCCAGTTACATAGAATTCATCTAGAGAATATGTTTCTTGTAATTTTACCTTGCCTTTAGTCACCTGTAGTATTCACTGATGTCTGTACTCTGGGGGTTCTTATGACTCCCTGCATGTCTGCTACTCAGTGGAAAGCTTTTCAGAGCTTTTAGGCTGCCTGCCATGGAGGCAGGAGTGAGCTAGGGACCCATGTGTGTGCTTCGTGCTGCTTGACTGGGGGTGCTGTGAATCAATATATGTCACACCTGTGGAGGAAATACCCATGGAAGCCTGGAGAATTCAAATGCTTCACATGTCTGAAGTTCCCAGCTGAGCTGAGTTTTCATATCCATTCTTGGCATTCAATCTAATGAGGTGCTGGGCAGCAGATGACCAGGGGTTTGTAGACTAATTTCTATGCTGCTAAGAAATATAGGAAACTATTTAACTATATTTATTTCTACATTTTGAACCTGAATTTAAAAAATAATAGTACTATTACTTGTTTTATTCTAAAGCATAGAACAGTATTTTCCACCTCAATTTTTTGTATTTCCTGCAGAATAGAGATGTTGTCTGATGATCTGCTTTGGTGCAGCTTTACCTAAATTCTAAAAAGGACCCTTTGTCACTGGAAGCCTTTTTAATCCAATTCAAACTGAGATTCAGGGAAGCCAACGTTCTCTATAGTTCTAAGTTCAGATTTGCTTTGTTTATTATTCTTTAGATAGAAGAAAGTATAAAAGTTCTCTTACAGACATATTAATTACAATTGATACAATGTCACTGTCATAAACCATAAGGTATTTTCCTACTGATTAAGGTATTCTGTGTTTTTCATCCCGCAGGAAACATTACTTTCCTTTGTTCATTATCTCCCGCAAGATGATGAGTTCTAATAAGGAGGAGGTCACTTTGGGCGCTTTTCTCCAGTATATTGAAGATATGGGGATGAAGGCCTACGATGGCTTGGTTATACAGAATGCATCAGACATTGCTCGAGAGAATGATCGCATGAGGAATGAAACAAACCTGGCTTACTTGAAAGAAAAGAGCGAAAAACGCCGAAAACAAGAAGAAGCAATAAAACGGTAAATATTTTAATAAAAAGATCAGTGGTCTGGCAGAGTGAATGAACAATGAAAGGTTCATAATGTCATCAATTGTAAAAATGTGTAGATGAGTTGACTTCCAGCCACTTCCTGGTAAAAGCAGTATAGCCTGTTGGCCAGTTTCAGGCTGCTAATTGCATATTTATTATATTGTGTAGAGACGGTGTTGAATGGCTCTCCTCAGTAGAAGAGAGTATTCCCATCAAAATGTATTAGATTTGAGCATGCGTGGCATCTTCAGCAGGAGTGATTTGTAACAAAAAGTTTAGGTATCTGGAACAGTTGTTAGATAGACAATGTCTATTTTGTTCCAAGGTGTACCACTGCAAGATAAGGCAGCCTCACAGATTCTCTTTGGGTTGATATTTCAAATTTGGTAAATTTTCAAAACTCTCTAACTGCTATCTAAAAAAAAAAAAAAAAAAATTGGCATGTTACTTCCTCACCATTTCCTCACCATTCTTCACTCTCTGAAGTAAAAAAATAAATAAATAAAATCTGCAATTCATTTAAAAGAAAATGGATATTGCACCTGGTGGGCACAAGCCTATAATGGCTCTTCTTGAATAAGTCAATTGATTTTAATTGACAGCTAATGAGAGGAGCACTCACATGACCCGGTGTCTTGTGCCAGTGGATAGCAACAAAATCTACAGCCATTTAGACATGAAAAAAGGTATCAGCGTGATGAATATGTATATCTACATGGAGATACCTGTCTATAAAGATGTGTGTATATGTAAGTGCACATATGCATAAAAATTTGAGTTGTCTTGAGGAGACAGACAAATTGTGTAATAAAGATAAATCATCCATATATGCACTAAACTTTTATATGCAAATGAATGGCTTGGGCTCAAACTGATAGGAGGCCCTTTGAATTTTTTTTCCCCCAGCGTGAATCTTCCATATTTCAGTTCAAATGATTAAATTTTATGCTATATCTTGGGTACTGTACATGCAGGTATAACAGTCATGCTGTGCTGTGAACACTCTATCAATGCCTCAGTAGTCTGGTAATTTTGATGAAATGTTTAAAAGAGAAGCACATACAGTTTGATGGGGAAGGAGAAGCACCATTAAGCAAAATTGTGGTTGCTTTACATTCCAGGATGTAGAATTTTCTGGATTTTCACTATTTTGGATTCTGTAGAGGACATAAGACTAATGTGTAATTAAAGTGAATAATGAGAGTTAATGCAATGTTTATTTTGGTGTCTTCAGAATTAGTTATCTTGTCACTTCCTTCCTTGTGAAGTGTAGAGGGATTCAAACTATTAAAGAGTGAAAGGCATAGGTAGCTTGTAGCAGGATGCTAAGTATGACTTAATGAGGAAAAGCATTTTTCTTAGCAGCAAATTAATGTAAGTGTTCTTTGGTTGGTTTTTTTGTTTTGATCTGTGTGGGTTTTATGTTTGTACAATTCTTGCTATTCATTTTTGTCTTCCTGGGAGCAAGAACTGAAATGTTTGTGTTAAATATAAGTGCCTTTAAGCAGTTGAAAGAAAAACCTTTTATATCAACTTCCTTCTCTATCTTTTGTCTACTACACGGTTACATAATTTCCAAGAGGAAAGGGTAGGGTATGATGGAAGGGGGATTTAAGATGCTGTTACATGAAGGAGAGGAAAGATTTGAATTTCTCCCCTACAAAACAAAAGTGCTTGTCTGCTGTCAAGAAACTGGTGTTTTAAAGCAGTGAGATGAAGAGCACCTTCTCCTTATAAATAGTTGGCTCTTCACCACTGAAGAAAATAAATTCCAATTAAAATTTCAAATATTTTGAATGTTATTAAAATGTCATTTTTCAGTTAATTTATAGTTGCTGGAAGAATAAGTTCCCTAGTCCTTGTGGTGGCAACTTCATTTGATAAGGTAGAACAGTCAGTGTGTACACATTTATTTAGTTTGGACCTACCTGGTTCTCTTTATCCCTGTAGCTAAGCTTCTCTGTACCTAATTTGAATGGTGGCAGTAATATTTCCTAAATTGTAGTTGCTTTATGTGTTTTTTTTTTAATTGATCTTGGCAAAGTTATTTGAGGAAGAGGTCTGAATAAGTGTTGATGATTTAGGCCAAATTTTGAAATTTCTTGTTCATGTTGAATTGAAATTCTTGAGAACAAAGCTCTGCTCTGCAGATATCGTGTCAGGAAACAAGGAAGATTCCCAACAATATCATGGGTTTCTCTGAGGAACAGCATGTGTGTGTACACATATGTGAGTGAGATTTGGAAACACCAGCATTTCTTGGCTGTAGCACTCTTCTGTGGGAAACCATGTTTGTGGTGGTACCCTCCACTCCCTTCCCTCTTGGCCTATCACAGTATCACTGAGTTATAGGGCAATACCCTTCTAAGAAAACAAGCAGGAAATCACCCTAGGAAATCTCAGAAAATGTTATCTTTATCCTTTTTTCTGTCTATTCCCTGTGTAAATTTGGGAAGGAGAAGGAAATATTCATGATCAACTCTTGATTAGTAAAACTAGAAGCAATAACAGGTCCAGGAAAAACATCTGATTTGAGTAAAGGAACAATGATGTCATAACGTCACTTAGGCTGATGGCAGTCAAGTCTGCTCCCTGTAGTAACCTCCACAGGTTCATCCAATGCCCCATCTATTGAAAAACAGCAGTCAAAAAAGGTAAAGTAGGATTATTATTTACTTCTTTGTTCTGTAATATTTCCCTTATGTTTTAACCTTATCTTGGTGTGTATTTATATTCTCCCTAATTCCTGATATTGTGGCCTAGATAGCTATTAGTGCACATGTGCAGTGGTAACTGTGCTAACAGTCCAGAGACTGTCAACAACCGAAAACAATCTTTGTAGCAATCAGGGTCATCCCCTGGGACTAACAGCAGGTAGATTTTGAACAGGGGCGGAGGGTGTCCAACAAACAAGGAATAAAGAAATCACCCCTTTTGCCTCCAAGAATGAAAATAAAGCAGCTGAAAGTCTTTGGCACCTACTGAAAATTGTATTAGTCTGATTATTTAATTTTTGATAAGCTATTCAATTTCAGTGTTCAGATGCTCTTTGAGAAGTAGGATATTCATGTATATTAACAAATTAATGAGCACTTCATTATCTAATACAGTGCTGGTATTCACGCAAATAACATTTTGAAGAAGCTGTTATTTACCTGGAACAGCTGATAACCTATGCTGCATGACTTAAAAGTTCACTGAAATGCATTAATTTTAGCAGTTTAGAAACAAGATCTGAAAAATGACCTTTAAAAAAATGTTATATTTTGCCTCACTGAGAATACGTTGTGCTGTGCTTCTTCAGTAGCATTGATGCACTTTTAGTGTGATTGCTGTTTCATTCTATGTGGTTCTGATAGGTTAATTGTGGGGAAAAATGTATGGATCTAATGTAAATTGAAGGGGATAAAGCATGCATCGTATTGGATTGTGAAGGGAAAACAAGCAACTAGCCTTTGTCTGATCTTGCTGGGCTGAGTCAGCTGATCTGATCTGAATTTCTGACCTAATTTTAGTAGAGTACTTAGCGATCATGCAGAGAAATTAAGGTTAACGTGCTGATCAGGGGCTGAGAGTAAGCCACAGTAAATGTTAGTATATTTATTTTAAGCCTAATTTTTAGACCCTCCTTTGTCCTCCTTTTATTTGTCTGGTCTCACTTCATCGTTGTCTGTTCAAGAGTCTGTGTCCAGACCAAAAGAACATACTGGTATATTGCCCACAGGCTTATAAATTGCAAATAAATTATGAAGCAGCATTATTTTCACTGGGAATAAGTTGCAGTAATTTGAGACGTACACGTGTGATGATACAATATCTGCCATAGGCAATGTTTCTGGGAACAGAAGACAGATTAGCCTCTGCTTTTCTGACTGCCAGAGAAAAGGTGAGTATTTTGACTTTACTGTTACTGTTGACTTTACGTTACTGTGAGCAGTTGCTTTCTTACTCATACATAAATGTACCTAATGAAATTGCATATATTACATTTGTTATATTGATGTCTTATGTGGATGCTTCATCGGTGGCTTTTAAAATAGTAGTAGGAAATAATGAACCCTAGCTCCTCCTCTTCCTCCTCCTCTTTCTCTCACAGCTGAGACACATTGCATTAATTATAGGGAGTGGTTGGGGCTGCATAGTTTCCTAGGAGATCCATGCTTTGAAAGTTTGTCCTTTAGTTTTTAGGTATCATTTAAGCTACTGTTTCTATCAGGGATGTTGTTTTGATTTGTAGTATTACAAAGATGTGACTGATGTGTAAAGCTGATGGTGTCAGTAGGCATGCACTTCTAACTGCCAATTCCTGGGCTTTGCCACCAAAGTATTTTTTTCTGCTTCTAATAGTTTCCCCTATTCTAGCTCATTCCTAGCACCTAAATGGCTCTGCAGAAAGCTTTGTTTCTGCTTGTTGTGGGTAGTATCCAGACAGATGCTGTCAAGAGGAGGAGCTTTTGGGAGCACTGTTTTGTGCTAAAGCTAGCAGAAATGGGCCAGCCAGCCAGTAGCAGAGTTAAGCTCTTGTAATGAAGATGGGATTGTAATGAACAGCTGTCATCCTAACCTCTCTTTCCTATGGCAAACCAAATAACGAAGACTGACACATCAACAAAAGTAAGATATTTTTCTCTTGCTGTTTTCTTCTTCTTTTTTTATTTTTCTTTTTTTAGGATGGTGGAGGCAATTAAGTTCAGGTATTATCCATCTGTGGTTTTCAGTAGTTCCTGTCCTTAGGCTCTTTCATAAAAAAGATGTAAGATATGTGCCCTTTGGCTAAAAGTTAAGTTTTAAGTGTGGGTGACAGCAAGCAAATATAAATGTATCTGTGAGTATGGGATTACTCACTGCCAAAAGATCTGTTCAGCTGGGAAAATGTGTGTAATCTTAGGGCATTTTTAAGTGTTTCTACCAAAAGGCTACTAACAGAATACAAAATAACCTAAGGAAAATAATGTCATAATGAACTTACAGTAACGTTTACAATAACGT